ACTCACTAATTTATAAAGAGAAAGAGTTTATTTCTTACAGTTTATGGAGGCTGAGAAGTCCAAGGTCCAGGGGCCGCATCTGATGACAGCCTTCTTGCTGGTAGGGACTCTGTAGAGTTCCAGTGTGGCCACCAAGCCCCCCCACCATTATAACCTATCAGTTCACTAATCCATTAGTGGATTAATCCATTCATAAGGACAGAGCTCTCATGATCCAATCCCCTCCTAAAGGCCCCACCTCTCAATACTGCCACACTGGGGATTGTTTCAACATGAGCTTTGGAGGGGAAAAATATTCAAACTGTATAAACAAATGAGCCGAGAGAAGCTATCTGGACCATTCCCATTAGTGCCACATTATGAACAGTGATCAGAGATCCAGTAATGTGAAAATATGCCATAGGTAACAAACTTTCCTGCCTTTGGAGCCTGAAACCTTGCTGAGAAATATTTAGATCGTGGGAAAATCACAGAACTGTGTCAAATAACTTGGATTCTGAGCTTGATTCCACTCTGGTCTCAGAAAACCACCTTATAAATGTGCCTCACTTTCCTGCCATGCAAAACTGAGAGGGCTTTAGTGTACATTTTCTATGGCTCTTACAAGCTCTACTATTCTTTGGATTTACTAAGCAAGACGTTCATAAATCAATAGTTTTGTTAAATAGTGTTTATTTCATCAAGTGCAAAAATAATACATGCTCATTGTAGAAAATTTAGAAAATGAAAACACTGCAACAGTGAAATAGCTCTTATGCTACTAGTCAGAGAAAAAAATGTTGTCAGTATATTAATACATTTACTTCAAGTAAGTTTTGACACATTTAAATTTTATATTTGAAATTATACACTATGTTTCATATCCTACTTTTTCCACATGAGAAAAAATTGAAAGCAATTTTCATATCAAAATTATCCATAAATACCTTTATTGTTGTTTCATATGCTCCCATACAGATACATGATGGCCTTTCATTAAATATTGAAATTTAGGGTTGGGCTTTTAAAATTACTATGAAGATATTGTGATAAATGGAAATTTTATATGTAAATAGCTGGCTGCTATTCCAGTTTCCTTAGAATCTCAGGAGTGGAACTTTTAGGTCAAAGGATTTAAGCATTTCAAAATTCTTTGATACTATTGTCAAATTGTTCTCCAGAGAGCCTACACCAAATTATTCTCTGGCCAGGCTTAATGCAATACAGGTTTAGCACAGAATCATCCTAGCATCAGATAGACAGAGTGATGAAGAGGCAGGTTGTCAAGAAGCAGATCTAGGTGGAGGTATGAAGATTGAATTGTTAAATTAAAGAAGTATCTTAAACCCATGAGGACAAGACAGAGTTGTAAGTAAGGTTGGGACAACAGTTTAGCCATTTACAGGGAGTTGGGGGAGGAAAGTTAAATCTCTACCTCATACCTTTTACCACAAAAATGTATCCAGATATGGTACTCTTTTTGTTAAACTCTTCTGGAACAGTTCCACTACTGGTAATGTTGAAGTTGCTCTTTTTGCATCAACCCTCTCATAAGTAATAGCCATAATAACTATAGCTGAAATGGCTGGCCAAAATATTGTTTTAAAACGAGGCACTGGAGAGTCAATGCTTGAAAGAAAGGAATGGCCCTTGTTGAGTTTCCTTTTTTTTACTGCTTTTTGTCTGAGAAGAACTCTACTTGGTGCTGGGCAGTTAAAAACTGAAATGTTGACTCATCATCTTAATGTCTCAAGAACCAGAGAACATAGATTATGGTAACTGCAGCAGCTGCAAATGAAGGAGCAAAGCTAGAAATGAATGATCCAGAAAAGAGGAGCCTTTATATTTTATGAATTAACTCAATCTAAATTTCTGCTGACCCCTGAATCATGCAAGCATTGAGATAGACTTACAGCAACCAACTTAAGATCAAAAGAACTGAACAGAGATTTCTACTGTTGCCCACCACAAGGGAAACATAGTTTGCATTTGCATTTTAAGTCATCCAGTTAAACAAAACAAAACAAAAGAATCAATACTCTTTGGAAGGATAGAATAGAATCCAAAATCTACAGTGTGTCATCATGATATCCAGGATATAATCCAAAATTACTTGACATATGAGGAAACAGGAAAGAAAATCTCAAAAGAAAATGCAACCAATAGAGACCAATCCTAAGATGACCCAAGTATTGGATAAGAATTTTTTTTTTTTTTTTTTGAAAGAGAGTCTCACTTTGTCACCCAGGCTGGAGTGGAGTGGCTCGATCTCGGCTCACTGCAACCTCCACCTCCTGGGTTCACGCCATTCTCCTGCCTCAGCCTCCCAAGTAGCTGGGACTACAGGCACCCGCCACCACACCCGGCTAATTTTTTGTATTTTTAGTACAGACAGGGTTTCACTGTGTTAGCCAGGAGGGTCTTGATCTCCTGACCTCGTGATCCACCCGCCTCAGCCTCCCAAAGTGCTGGGATTACAGGCGTGAGCCACCACACCCAGCTGGGTAAGAATTTGATAGCAACTATTATAATTATGCTCATGGACATAAAGGAAAATGTACTTATGATGAATGAAAAGATAAGAAATCTCAGCAGAAAAAAATAGAAACAGAATATTTGGAACAATATCTACAAATAAATAATTCACTGGGTGTACATAACAGATTGAAGATGGCAGGAGAGTTTGTGAACTTGAAGATAGAGCAATAGAATTATCCAGTCTGAAGAACAAAGATTTTAAGAGATTGAAAAAAGAAATAAACAGCTTCAGGGATCTGCGGGACAATAATAAAAGGTCTAATATATGGGCAAATAGAGTCCCAGAAGAGCAGAGATCAAACGGAGCTGAGAAAAGAAAGATTTGAAGAAATAATGGCTGGAAACTTTCCCAATTTAGTGAACGTTGTAACTTTATGGATCAGAACAATCATCAAATTCCAAACAAGATAAATACAAAGAAAACTATACAAAGGCATATCTAGTCAGACCGTCAAATACCAAAAATAAAGAGAAAAGCTTTGAAAGCAATCAGAGAGAAAAGTACATTATACATAGGGAACACTGATTACAATTATTATAGAATTCTTGTCAGAAACAATGGAGATCAGAAGACATTAGAACAATATATTTAAAGTGCCTAAAAATGGTCAACTCTGAATTTTGTAATGAATGACAGTATCATTTGAATTTTAAAAGCTAATAATTTGTTGCCAAAAATAGACAAGAAATGCTAACAGAAATTTGTCAAGACGAAGGGAAAGAATACCTGGTGAAACATTGAAACTTGAGACAGGAATGGAGAGTTTGGGAAATGGTAAACAGGTGGATAAACATAAAAGATTATTTTCCCCTTTATTTAAAGTACAAATGACTGCTTAAAGCAAAAAAAAAAAAAAAAATAGCATATTGCAGGATTTATAACATGTGGATGTGGTAAATCTGCCAACTCTAACATAAAGAACAGGCATTAGGGGTGTGTGTACTATACAGTTGCAAGGTGCATATGTTTTATGTAAAGTGTCACAGTATTAATTCTAAGTAGACAATGAAAAGTCAATAGTGAAAAGTGATTCCTAGAACAGCCATAAAAATATAATGCAAAAGGTGTAGCCAAAAAGTAGGTAAGTTGAGATGAGTTTCTTTAAAAAAAAAAAAAAAATCCTCTCTCTAGGCAGGACTTTTTCTGCAGAACAGAGGAATAAAAAGCAGAGGTGACAAACAGAAAGCAAACAGTAAAATAGAAGCCCCAAATTCAACCATATCAATAATTACATCTACAGGTTAATAGACAAAAGACTTCTGCTATTGTTTGGACGTGGTTTGTCCCTGCCAAAATTCATGTTGAAATTTGATTCCCAATGTGGTGGTGCTGAGAGATGAGGCCTAATAGGAGGTGTTTGGGCCATGGGGTGGAGCTCTCATGAATAGATTCATTCTCTCTCTAGAATGAGTTCTCATTCTTGCAGGACTGAATTCATTACTACAGAGCAGGTTGTTCTTCCTTGTGTTTGGTCTTTGTGCACATGCACACTTGCCTTTTCTGCTTTTCACCGTGAATTGAAGCAGCACAAGACCCTCACTAGGTAGGCTGCCTGATTTTGGACTTTCCAGCCTCCAGAATTGTGAGCCAAATAAACTTTTCTTACCCAGTCTCAGATATTTTATTATATCAACACGAAACAGACTAAGACAACTCCAATTAAAGGACACAGACTGTCAGAATGGATTAAAAATCAGGACCTAACTGTATGCCTTCTAAACAAGACACATTTTTAAATAATGACACTAAAAGATTGAAAGTAATTAGATGTAAAGAAGCATAAGATGTAAGCAGTGAGCACAAGAACACCAGAGTAGCTATATCAACATGAGACAAAGCAAATTTAAAGACAAAGGGTATAACAAAAGGGGTGAAGTGGGCTTCAGCCTCCTGAAAGGTTCATCCAGTGATAGAGTGTCCTGTGTCCATATCATTCTGGTCAGCTTCTGCCAGACATTACATTTTAATTCAGCCAGTTTTCCTTTATGAAACTTCAAACAAAATGTGCAACTCCAAGCAGTGACAGATCACTGAAGGAAGGTTCCAACCTTGCTGGTCATGTTACAGTCACAGTGTTAGTGACTCTCAGGCTAGCCTGATAATAGCCATTCCCATGAGTCTGTTGGAAGGGAGGGAGCGATGAAGGGAGAAATCATTCTTCCCAGTGATAAATGGTTCATATATCATTTTTGTGTAATGATTTATTTTCAAAGTAAACTTGAAGTTTAGGGAATTCCTACCTGGAATTTTGGAATACTCATCCCACACATAAGCAGTTTTCTCTGAGACTATTTCATAATACAAGATAGAGAATAGTTATGAAGAATACTGTACTCCAAAAAATGCAAGAGAAAAGCAAGTGAACTTGCCATTGTGGCTTTTCTTTCTTCTTTAGCTGGAAAAGACAGAAAAGATGGTGTCCTGCCCCTTTCTCATTCACATACCAGCTCCTGGATGTGGGCTTGTGTTTCCTTAACCACAGGAACTTGGAGGGGGAGGAGCACCTGCGCAAACGGGCCCTGCAGCTGCCGTTCACCTTCACTACGGGGGAGGCCGTCCTGTATGAGAGCAGCCTCCCAAGCGCCCTGACTGCCCTCCCAGCCAGGAAGAGGACCAGGGCTAGGAAGGGTCTTCCAGCTGGCCAGGACTCTTCGTGCCCCGGATCTCTCCTTGGAGCCATGATGCAGCAAGATGAATCCGTGTACTTGTCCTGCATTGCTCCCACCCTCCAGGGCTCACCCTTCGAGAGGCAGGGGTCTGATAACAGATGTGAGGACAAGGAAGAGAAAGAGAAGGAGGAAGGCAGCTCCCTGCTGGCCCTCATCGAGAGCCTGCTGGAGAAGGACAAGGAAGAACAGCCTGACCTTTGCTCCACCCTCCAGCACCTGGCTGTCACCAATCTCAACCAGCATCTGTGGGAAGAGAAGCTTCAAGGAGCTGACTCGGGCCCTGCAGGACCTCAGAACTGCCACCTGCCACCACCCAGCCAAGGAAGAAAACTCCACAGGGAGAAGGAGACCCAGTTTTATGACACTGGGAACGTGGGCTTGCCCCCACCAGCCAGCATGACTTCTCCACAGACCCTGAATCCACCATCTTCTCAGGGCTCAGCCCAGCTAGCCACAGAAGTAACTCCACCTCCAAACGTGGGCTTGGTGCCCAGCTACCCTCAAGCACATCCCCAGGATTGTCTCATCACTGGTCCTTCTATCCCTGGCCCCACACTCCAGAACCCCCTCCAGGGCCCCCCACAGTGGTGGCCTCGGCACAGCCAGGCAGTGCCTTCGAACTTTGAGATGTGTCAGAAGCCAACATTTGACCTCAGCCCACTGCCTCAGGCCTCCAGCCCAAGCCGGCCTGCTCAGGGTTTTCAGCCAAGCCACACACCTTTTCTCTCTTTAGGAGAAAATGTTCCTGGACACCTGGCTCCGCCAGGCCCTGGTGTTCTGAATTTTTGCAAGGAATCTGTGCCCTGGACCTCCACACACACTGGTCAGGGCCAAGGGTCCTTGATCCCCTCAGACCCCACTTTATGTGTCAACCCATGTGGTACCCACCGTTTGCGCAGCATTTGGGATTCCCCCATCCAGGGCCACCCAGTTGCAGTCCCCATGGAGGTGGTGGCAGAGCAGAAAGCAGGGCAGGCCCAGCCTGACCCCTTCAGCTGCCCATGGATGGTTGACCCCTGCCTTCTATGGACACGGCCACCCAGTCCCAGCTTGTACAGAGGTCAGCCCCCATCTGTGCAGGGGGCACCTGGGACACCAGAGGAAAAATCTGGAGAGGGGGAGCATCCACCCCACTCTCTGGGGCCAAACCAGCTTTCCAGGAGTCCAGCCTGTCCTTCCCAAGTACTTCCGCCGGGATCCTCAGCCATGCAGGGCTCTTACACTGCAGACCCCAACCCAGCCACCAAGCAGCAGCAGTGGGTGCAGGGGGTGCTGCAGAGCCAGGAGCACTGTGGGCAGGTAAGAGAAGGGGCACCACGTGTCCATCACCAGGCTGGCCACCTGAGAGATGCCATTCCCCAGGCTCCTCAGCAGAACCCCTTCCCCTCTCCTGACTCTGCCAACAGCTCCCCACATTCAGGTGGCAGCCACTACAGCAGCCCAGCAGAGCTTATGAGACAAGTCAAAGACAGACCACAGGTGCCACCTAGCCTGGCCCAGCCTATCTGCCCCCCTGACCTGGCCTGGCCTCCCACGTCCATGCAGGGCAGCTATGACATTAGGCTCCGGGTGGGTGTTGGTACACAGGGTCTCAGAAAACCGGGACCGGCAGGGAAGGGCACCCCACCACACAGGTCAAGTACAGAGCTGCTGGCAAACGTGGACATGTCAGGGCCTTAGCCCAGACAGACAGTACAAGGAGGGGCAATGGAACTGGCCCAGCCTTGGCTTGGGTTGCTGTGGGGTCCAGAGTGGGGACACAGAGAGATTTTGCAAAGGTAGCAGGTTACTGCCATGTGGATCATGTGAAGCCAGTAGTGGTGGCAACCACAGCCCCCTGGAGGGCCCCATTTGGTGTCTCCTGGGCCATTGCTGAGCAGCCTGGACGCTCCCCATAATGTAGCCTAGCTTTGGACCCCCAGAACTTGAATTAGTCATAGAGATTTGAATGTGGTCCTCTTGCAACTCCCTGCATGCACCACTTCCAACACCCCATGCAGAGACCGGCACTTCTCCTTTGCCTGGTGCTGCTGGGAACTGAGGCCCTCTGTAGGCATGAAGTCTTCAGGTGACTAACCTTCCCCCAGAAATGCAGCTTTGGATGGAAATCACATGAGAGTGCTGCTGCTTCCCTCAGCTCCTGTCGTGGTTTCTGGGTGATGCCCTCAGGACTGAGCAGGGATGTATAGCTGATTCCCTGAACCCTAAGTGGCCCCAAATAGCCACATCTTGGGTCCTCTCCCAACTTTGCTGGGTTTTCTGTCCCTTCTCATTGGACACTGCAACCCCTCACTTCTGCTTTCGGGGATCTCAGGCTGCCCATCTCTAGGGTCCCTGCTCACTTCTCTTCCCAGTGTTTTGTTTTCATCTGTTGTAGGTTAGAAAATCTGAAGACCAGATTTGATAAACTTTCCTGAAACCAAAATAAACAGATTCCTAATCAAAGCCTGAATAAGCAAGTATCAATTTTAGACTCCTCGAACTAGCCCTCTTCTCTTTTCAGCAAATCTGTTCTTACTCAGTTTCCTGTTTTCCTAACAGCGGTGTTCCCAAAACGAAGGCCGCAAGATGGCACTGGGGGTTCCAGGCCCAACAGCAAAGACATTTTTCTCCCAGGTCTGACGTAAGATGATGTTGTGCTTTGCACGTCTACACGAGAGATTTGGGGCCTTAACTACTGACATTTTCCCTGAGATTAAAGTTTCTTAAACTCTCAGATTGCTGGGTGAATATTTAACTTATTTCTATGGGTATAATTACACATATTTGAAAGCTTAATCTCTGGATTCCAAAGATATACTTTTCGACTTCATTTAATTCAATGCATTTTATACTAAAGGAAATGCATACAGAATTCTCTTTGCTTAAAAAGTTATTTATGAACCCACAAAAATGTTCAAAGGAAAGGGATGCGAGGAGCATGCACCAGCAGACGTGCCCAGACATTCACCTGGAAGGGGCCCCACAACCGTGGTGTCTGGTGACCATGTTTCTAAGCTGAGGGCTGAGGCTCAGCATCGAATGAGTGGGGGACCACACGGCCTCCTTTCTGCCAGGTAGAGGCCACTGGATGCCCAGTTCTCAGATCACCGTAGGGCACTGACCTGACAGCCGCAGACAGAGAAGGCAAGAGTGAGCCTTTGGCCTAGACACCTGAAAGGGGCTCATAATTCACTATCTGGACACAGGACAAGGGGCTGGTCTGCGGAGTCTGGGTGGTCTGCGGAGTCTGTGTGCAGGAAGGCGGTGTCTGAAGGGGGTGCAGGGATAGGGTTGATTGGAATATTTAGGCCACAGGAAGACGGTGTCCAGTCTGAAGGGTGTGCGGGGATGGGGTTGATTGGAACATTTAGGCCACAGGACACCTTGAAATGCAGGGTGTGTGGGGCCTCAGTCCCACTGCAGAGCAAAAGAAGAGAGCCTGGCGAGGCTCAGATAGCCACTGCTTCTCCTTCCATAAAGGGTTCAGAACCGCAAAGGCACTTCCATTTACTCCTGTGACTTAGAACCACAGAATTCATTGTTTAGGAGCTAAAATGAGCCCTGAATATCACCAGTAAGACCTCCTTAGTTAGCATGGGTCCACAAGCATGACCTGATGGCCAGGGACCATTTGTCCTGCTCACGACTGTCACCCAAAAGCAGACACACAGTAGGTGCTTCATGAATATTTGTTCTGTATGTGAACAAATGGATGAGGGAATGAATGGATGAGTGGACAAAGAAACCACAGAACTAAAGACCAGGAGGTCAAGGGACTCACCCAGTGCAGAGCCCAGGTGGGGACCCCTCTTGTCCACTGCTCGTTAGAGACTGTTGAGCTGCACACAGCAGGGGAAAGAAGAGGGAAGCCATTTTTGCCCATTTTTCAACAGAATTGTGGATTCCTGGGTGTTGATGATGTTGTTTTATGACAGGAAGTCTGTTATCTTGGACTCTTAAGCCAAAAAACACTGAGACATCAAACAAACAAAGCCCAGCATCTTGACACAGAGGGGTGCAAATAAACACCGAAACAATGACCAGAACTCAGTCATGCTTTAACCCTCTCCCTCAAATGAAAAAAATGTCCCATTGTGAGGTAAGGTTAGATTTCTAATCTCACGTAGAACCTGAATGTGGGCAGCATTGTGCCCTAACAGGCAGAGGTCTAACTGGAGTGCTGTTTATGCTTTCTTCTGCCCTGCTCTTGTAATACCTAACCTTGTTTTTTACTAACTTTGTTTGTAGACTCTCCCTTTCTCCCTTAATCACCTAGCCTTGTTTCCACATGAATAAGCTCTCCCTTAGCTGAGAAAGCTGGACGGAGGAACTCCATTTGGCTCTGTCATTTGCAAGGCTTCAAGGACTCCTTACCCACCCCCTTCCTCAAGGAGTTAACTTGTGTAAGCTGACTCAACATTTCAGAATCCAATTAACTGATAAGGTACTGAAGCAAGCAAGGTAGGAAGTTCCCTGGATTTTACTCAAGAGATAACAATAAAACCTTGAGTTTGTGTCTGGCAGAGCCCCCATATATAACATCTTATGAAAGATTTAGAGCCCCTGCACCTGGAAACTTTGTTTCTCTGTAACCATTTGTCTTTTTAACTTTTTTTGCATGTTTTTACTTCTGTAGAATTGTTGCAACTGAGCTCCGCCTCCCCTTCCTAACCCCAAGTATAAAAGAAAATCAAGCGCCTTCCTCCAGGCGGAGAGAATTTCAAGCGTTAGCCGTCTCTCTGTCGCCAGCTAATAAAGGACTTTTAAATTTGTCTCAAGGTGTGGCGTTTCTCTAACTCGCTCGGGTACAACACTCTGTCCAAAAAAATCAGTTTAATCACAGAACAGTGCATGTGCCTGAACACTGTGAAGTCAGTCTTAATGTGAAAAGCTGTCCTATGGTGTTTTTTTATGTGGTCACAAGCTTTATGAAACTGCTCAAAGACTTTCATGTGCAGTGCGGATTGATGACATGTATGTAACTATTAATATGTACATGTCATTTCTCTGTGCTGTTCGGGTACTGCCATGAACCATAATAAAACAGTGAGAGTCAACACACAGCTCTTGCGAATAGGTCCGCTGTTTCATATTGCTGAGCAACAAACCACGCCCAGAACTTCGTAGATTAAAGCGTCCGTCATCGGTCATCCATTTGTTCATCATGCTGCAATATGGGCTTGGCTCAGCTGGTGGTTCTGCTGGGCTCACCAGTCATTCATGTGACTGTGGTCACTTAGCACCTCAGCTGGGGCTAGAGGGTCCAAGATGGCCTTACTCACATGTCTAGCAGTTAGCCTGGTGTCAGCGGGGGACCCTTGGTTATCTCGCTTGTGGCTTCTCCAGACAGAGATCCAGGATTTCTTGTCTGCAGCATGCTCCAAGAAGGCAAGCCCAGTGTACACGTTCTTATCAGGCCTCTGGGCAGATGTGCTGACCCCCATTGGCCAAGCCAAGTCTCAGGGCTAAGCACTGACTCAAAGTGGAGAGCGGTGCACAGGGTCATAAATACTGGGAGGTGAGCTTCATGAGGACCCACTAGCAGCTTTCCTTCGCAGCCGCACAGCAGTCTCCAGGTTACCAGGTGAGTGGTGCCCATCACACACATTTGAATGTGAGCTATAGTATTGTAACCAAGCGAGTTATAGAGAAATGCCACACTTTGAGACTGATTCAGGAGTCCTTTATTAGCCGGCGACCGAGAGACGACTAGCGCTCAAAATTCTCTCGGCCCCAAAGAAGGGGCTAGATTTTCCTTTATACTTCGGTTTAGAGAGGGGAAGGGGAGCCTAGCTGTAGCAATCTTACAGAAGTAAACAGGCAAAAAGAAAAAAAAGTTAAAAAGACAAATGGCTACAGGAAAACAAACAGTTCCAGGTGCAGGGGCTTTAAATCCATCACAGGGTGATAGGTGCGAGGGCTTTGGGTGCTATGTCCTGGACACAAACGCGGGGACTTGGGTACTATCACCCAGGCGAATTCCTGGGAACTGCGGACATAGCTTGCATGTACCTTATCGGTTAATTGCACTCTGATGTGCTGGGAGTCAGCTTGTACGTCCTTGAGGAAGCGGGTGGGTGAGGAGCCCTTGATGTCTTGCAAATGCAGGAGCCAGATGGAGTCTGTCCGGCTGTCTCAGCTCAGGGAGAGTCGATTCATAGGAAAACAAGGTTGGGTATTACATTAGGAACCAGGCTACAAGGGTCCACTTAACTCATGGTGTGGCAGGGCTAACCCTTGAGGACAGGGGCTCCTGGAGCACGAGACGGGTGGGGAGAGAAGCTTCTGTCTCATCTCCAGACACAGGGTGGTCCTCAGGGGAAACTTCACCTGGGCTTAGCTGAGCTGTAGGGCCCTCCCCTGTGCACCTCCTGTCTCCTTTGCCTCTCCCTTTCTTCAGAGCACAGGTCCCTCCTGCTGCCACAGCCATGACCACAGCCTTGCCCACGCCCCTCGCTACGTCTGGCTGAGAAATCAGGAGAGAAGACAGTAGGTGAGCACCTAACTGAATGAAATCCACAAAGGCACAAAAGGCTGCTGTGCCCTCAGCCTTCCCTGAAGCCTTATGTTTTTAAGAGGGTGTTTGTTGACTCACCAACCTCTCATGAACCCCCAAAATCTGAGACAAGTCTCAGTCAATTTAGAAAGTTTATTTTGCCAAGGTTGAGGACACACACTCCTGACACAGCCTCAGGAGGTACTGACGACATGTGCCCACCGTGGTCAGAGCACAGTTTGGTTTTATACATTTCAGGGAGACATGAAACATCAATCAATATATGCAAGATGAACATTGGTTCAGTCTGGAGAGGCGGATAACTCGAAGTAGGGAGGGGCTTCCAGGTAGGTAGATAGACAAATGGTTGCATTCTTTCGAGTTTCTGATTAGCCTCTCCAAAGGAGGCACAGATATGCATTGATCTCAGTGAGCAGAGGGGTGACTGAATAGAATGGGAAGGAGGTTTGCCCTAAGCAGTTCCCGGCTTGACTTTTTCCTTTAGCTTCATGATTGTGGGGCCCCTTTCACACTCTCCTTAGAGCACTTCCTAAAACACAGGGGCGGGGAAGTCTGTCTTGTGAGGCAGAAGACGTTGACTCTAACCCAGCTTCCTACATGGCCCTGCCTTTTCCAGAATTACTCAAAGGCTCTCATTTATCTGCCTGTGCTCTGTGGCATAAAGATCATAACGAGACAGAGGGACATCTGTAGGTCCACCACCTGGAGGTCAGCAAGCCCACCAACCTGGGGTCTGTGGGCAGCTGGCCTTCCACGGGCACTTCATGGAAAAGCAGAGGGACACAGTCATTCCAGGTTAGAAAGCCGGGCTCAGAACGTCTCAGTCACATATCACAACCATGGTGGAGGGATGATAGATGGATGGACGGATGGATGGATATGGATGATGGATGAATGATGGATAGATGGAGGGATAGATGTGGATGTATGGATGGATGGAGGGATGGCTGTGGATGATGGATGGATGGATGGATGGATGATGAGGGATAGATGTGGATGATGGATGGATGGATGGATGGTGGATGGATGGATATGGATGATGGATGAATGATGGATAGATGGAGGGATAGATGTGGATGTATGGATGGATGGAGGGATGGCTGTGGATGATGGATGGATGGATGGATGGATGATGAGGGATAGATGTGGATGATGGATGGATGGATGGATGGTGGATGGATGGATGGATGGATGGATGGATGGATGATGAGGGATAG